CTCGCTGTCGAGGCGAAATCGGCGGTGGCCGCGCAGCGCGCGCGAAGCCCTGGCCAAAGCGAAAGCCGTGCCCGCGGCGTCGCAGCCGACTCTCGAAGAGCGCGCCGGTCTGCCAGAAGCAGAAGCCGCTCCGCACGAAGTCGCTGAACTCGCTGCGACGCTGGCGCTCGCCCAGCGAAGTGCTTCTGGGCCACCGAATGCAGCTGACCGATCCAACGCCCCCAGGCCTCGTCAGGGGCCTTCGCAGCGTACAGCTCGAGGAAGTAGTCGAGGTGCTGCGAGAGGGCCTCCTCCAGTTCGCGAGCGAACGCAGAACCCCCTTGCCTGGCTGCAGCGCCTGGCTCAACCGATGGAAGTCCCACTGCGTCTGCGGCCGCGCGGGCGGCGCCTGCGGCGTGTAGATCACCTTCATCAAGATGGGAACGTGGCCCTGCGAACCAGGCCGCGGTATCAACTTCGGGCGCAGGCTGGCGCTCTTCAGCCTTCAGCGGCATCGCCGTCTGCGCTGACGGGGCCTGCCACGCGAAGATGGAGACGCGGTCGATGCGAATGGCGCGCCGAACCCCGTGAAATGCCGGCCCAACCTCGAAGTCGCTCGTCGACGCCCTGAGCGCGAACCGCTCGAGCAAATCCAGCATCTCGTCGGCTGCGCAGTGCTGAGCCTGGCGCCCGTGCGGTCCGAGAGCGGGCGAGTCCACCTGCTCGTAGACCTGCGCGCCTCGCTGGCGAATGCCTAGTCCGTCGTTGAGGTCCAAGCCAAAGAAGAGAGCGGACCGCCCTCGAACCCAGGTGAGTCTGCTCGATGTTCCATATCGCGTCGACGGTGTCCCTGTATGCTGCACGCGCAATGCCCATCGTGACCGTCTCGGGTGCACTTCGACGGGTCGGCGGCCTCGGTGGAAAGTCAGCCATCGGCACCAGGATGTCGAACCGTCCGCTGCGAAGGCGTGTCAAAGCAACTCTGCCTCTCAGCTTCGCTGGCACTGGATGGGGCGTCGACCAAGTGCGGCGCGCGGAAGACCCGTCTGCGGAGCAGTATGGTGCACCCGTAACTCTTGCTCGTGTGGGGGCTAGGGCACCAGCTGGACCGACGGGCAGTATGAATGGGCAGCGGCGTCTGAAGAGTGTCGGCATCCAGTCGATTCTCTCCAATCCCGCTCAGGCAGATCGCATCTACATAGACAAAGTATGCAGAAATGCCACGAAGTCTCCTCTGAACTCGCGCTATGGGCATTCCCGCGGACAAACTTCACCGCCCCGAAATATTCCAGAGCAGTCCAGAGCCACCCGACACGTGCGAACCAGCACGGCGGCAGCTTCGCCAGGAGCCGCCGGCCGACCGCAGGAAGATGGCGCGCCATGCGGGGCGCGGAATACAGCTGGCGCCTGCCGCGAAGGAATCACCGCCTCGGGCAGGGGGGGCTAGGAGGAGGAGGAGGAGGAGGAGGAGGAGGAGGAGGACGAGGAAAACGAGGAGGCGGAGCGTCGCCGAGGGACAGTCTCTCCTTACGCTTGCACTCGCTCTCGCCTTTGCCACGCCCCGCCAGCGAGGCCCGTGGCTAGGCGGGCGGCCTGGGCGATTTGAAACTCCTCCTGCGGCGCAGGGCGGAGGGTGGATCTCCTACTGCGGGCGTGGGGGAGACGGCGCAGGTGATAGAAAATCACCGGCCTTCTGAGATGGGCAGGCGCGCGCGGGAGAAGGGCGAGGCGAGCAGGGGCGGGATCGGGGGCAGGAGGGGGGGGGGGGGGGGCAAGGCGAGGGCCAGGAACCACGGCAGTGAGCCAGTGGAAAGAGGGGCAGTGGATATAGTGAGCAAGGCTATCTCGGCAAGCACAACCGAGCAGGCAGCCTCTGTCGTCATTGCGCAGTCGGGTGTCTGTGACCCGACCCCCTGTCCAAGTGCGGAGTGCCGCCAAGCGCCGGGATGGAGGTAACCTCTCAGGCGCGCCTCGCACCTCCGACCAGGGGGCCGAGTGAGAACATTCTGGGGTAATCCCAAACAATTTGAAGAGCGGCTTCCGAATGAGTGGGAGAAGAGAGGACGCCGAGGAATAGAGGGCGGGGGGGATACCTCGATTGAGGGCTCGCTGCACTTTAAATCGTCACTGGTGGCCCAGCACTGACGCGGACCCCATTAAGCAAATCTATTAAGAAAATCTTGTAATTTAATTCATTTTCTGGGAGAGAACGAGTCCTTATACAGAGCCATACCACGACGTCCGACGCCGATTGGTTGAGTAGCCGAAAACGATGATCTCTCAGGATTCGCACGAAAGCAAATACGAGGACGAAAATGGAGAGAATCAGTAAGGACGAGAGGGAGCAGCAGAAGCAACAACAGGAACGCAGCAAAACGCATGTTCCTCGCCTGCCCCTGGTCTTCCTCACAATTCCCCATTTTCCCTCCCCCTCTTCCCCCCTCCCCCTCCTCTTCCTGATCGTCTCCTCCTCCCCCCTGCTCCTGCTCCTCCCCCTCCGCCTCCTGCTCCTCCCCCTAATGTTCCTCCGTCCTTCTGTTCATGCTCCTCCCTCTCGTGTTCCTGCTCCTGCGCCTCCCCCTCCTCCCTCCCCTGCCCCTCCCCTTCCCGGCCTCCCTCACCCCCTCCTCCCTTCTCCCTCCTCCCCCCTCACCCCATCCTCCCTCCGTTACCCTTTTCGTGGCCCCTGTCCCATCCAATGGAGAATCCCTACGACCCCTTCCCAAACGGAGGCGAGCGAAAGGCCCTCGCGAGGAGGCGAATTGGGAGAGCAAATCTGGAGAGCAAAAAAAAAGAGGCGGAGAGCAAATCTGGGAAAGCAAAAAAAAATAGAGGATGTCTGCAGCGCCGGGCCCTCCTGCATGCACGAAAAGGTGGAGGGCAAATTTTTTGGGGTGAGATGGGGGCGGTTTTTCCCGACGGTGCGCGCAGACGGTTTCGAGGACGGCCTGGGAGGAGATTTGCTCTCCCTCCGGGGAATCCAAATTTACCCCTCAATTTTTGCTCTCCCCGCGCCGTTCCTTTTCACTGCCCCCATCTTGCGACGGATTACGAGGGTGACGGCGAACAAACTGATGGATGGCGATAGTGGCCGGCAAATGTTATGATCGACCTTCTTGGGGCGGCGGTGAACGAAAAAACGCGGCACACCAGTCATAACAATCACACCAAACACGGCGGGTACACATAGAACACACAGCACGCTGGGCACACCAAGAACACATAAAAATAGCAACGCGACTCAAGACCTCGTCACGTTTCCAACAACACAACAAGCCGACGCCAACACATTGCGATTCCCCGATCTGGGGAACTGTCTTGGGAGGCCCCACGGGGCCATCTTTGGCCGTCTAGGTGATCGCGGTTTTCAACTACTGTGCGTTAACAGACGCCTGCCATCGCACAACCTCCCCGCATGTCGCCGCGCATTGCGCGGGCACCGCGCTTTTCCCCGACGCGGGGCGCGCGGCGAATCAAAATCCGCCCAGCAAAAAAACAAAATTGCGAAGCATGATATTTTTGCTTTCCTGCGTTTTTGCTCGCCAGTGGTTCCCAACCATTGAAAATCGGGGTCCAGCGGCAGCACCGCGGGCGCCGACCAGCCTTGGGCTGGGGCGTTCAGCCCTCTGCGGTGCTGAGCGCTCCGGCGCCGCCCGGCGTTCGGCCCCCAGGGGCCTCAGCCCAGCAAGGGCCGCCGCGCGGGCCCGACCCGAGGAGCTCCGAGCTTCCGCCGCTTCCCGCAGAGCCCACGCCACCGCCGGCTCCCGCCAGAAGGAGGGCCAAGGACACATAACTTTGGCACCCGTGGGCCCGTTCCAGCTGAATTGCCCGACGCGCAGGTGCGACCGCGCCGCGTCCTCGAGGCGCTGGCGCACTCGCTCGCAACGCTCGCTGAATTGGATTCCAGTCCTCATCATGGCGGCAAGCGCGTTGCTTCGGAGGCCCTGGATCCTTGGCCCGCCGAAGGAGGGGAGGTCGAGGAAACGGGCGGAGGAAAACCAGGATCCTGGGGCGCGGAAAACCCGAGTGAGAATGTCGTTCCCCCTCCTACACATCTGCCCACAGGGATGGAACAGCTGAGACTTGTACGAGATCACGCTCAGAGCACGTTCGTGGCACAGAACTATAGATGATTGAGCGCCAGCGTGCGAGCGAGCAACTCTGGCTTCGAGCTCGGCAGCAGGGGCCGCCCACTGTCGCTCGAGAGAAGCGGAGGGGCCGACCGTGCATCCGAGGTATTCCAGCGTGGCCTCAACCTTAAACACCCGCCATTCAGGACACGCCGCGCTAAGCAGCTCGGAAGTGGGGTCGCAGAGCTCCGCCGACCAGGGGCCCCAAGGCGGGGCGGCAGCGCACTTAGCGGGTTTCAGCCGCAGGCGGGCAAGACGCTTGGAAATTCTGAACCCTCGCGCCAAAACTCTCAGGCAAGGCCCCCCCCAAACCACCGCCCCCGCGTCGTCCGCGCACCACCCCGGTCCCCTTCTGAGCGGCCTCGAGAGTGCGCTCTAGATCACTACACAAGGGGTGCACTGCAAGGACGAATCGGCTGCCTGACAGGGGGTCCCCTTGCAAGACCCCAGCCATAATCCAGAGCATAAAAGCTCGAGATGGGTCAGCACAGAGGGTGGTAGCTCGGTTGCAATTGGCTCGAACGGCAACGATTAGGGCCCCAGGGGCACCCCAGGCGGACAAGACCCCCCATATCCACGAGCGAGAGACGGAGGGGACAGCGCGGGCGTAGTCAAACGCGAGAAGGAGAGGACGGGGCCGCGCAGGGGATGGATGGTCTAACGCCTGCATGCTTCCAATTCTCGCAAAACTGTCTAGCTCAATCAGATTCTCAACGAAGTGTCTGCCACAAATGAATCCTCTCTGGCTCGGTGCGATGACTTTTTGCACTGCTCTCTTAATGGGCCAGTTCAGCCCTGCGCTGATGGCCTTCGCTCCTCTGTTGCGAAGGGAGAGCGGGCGAGTGTTGCCAGGCGCGCGCGACGCCGCGTGCAGATCAGCATGCAGCGTGCCTTTGGGCAGGAAGATGCCGATCGCGAAGTTGTAGTCCGAGCGCATGCTCATGCCGTCCAGCATCCACTGCAGCGCACGGTGGAGCACTGCAGGCCCAGAGGGCAGGGCCAGCCAGGAGGCCGCGGGGAGCCCGTCGGGCCCAGGCGCGGCGGGCCTGGCCCGCCGAAGGGCTAGGCGGACGTCTGCCAGCCGCGGGGCAGGCCGCTCATCCCAGTCCGCCTGCGGGGCTCCGAAGCGCTCGAGGTACCTCCTGGAGCTTGGCCGTGCGCTCGCCGTTGGACACCTGGAGCTCCTCCACGGGGCAGAGCACCTTGCCCCAGTGCCTGCCCAGCGCGTCGCGGATGTCCGAGGGCTCCTTGAGCTCAGCCCCGTCCACCTCCAGCACAGCGAGGTATCGGCGCGCGCTGATGGGCGCCCGCAGACGCGCTCTTCTGCGAAGAGCTCGAAGCTGGGCGCTCAACTGCATCTTCCTGTTCTCGTCGGTCTCATGCATGGTGTCCTCTTCCAGCCTGCGCCTCATGCTGGCGGCCTCCTTCCTCTGCGCGATGTTGTACCTCCGTTGGAACTCGGAGTAGTTGATGATCTGCGCTGCCTTGGCCTCCGTGTCGACCCGCGCCAGTTCCTGCGCCCGTGCGTTCTGGGTGACCACCAGCTGCGCCAGCCTCCAGTTTTGCCTCCAGCAGGCTCGGGCCAGCTGTCGCCAAATGATGGCAGACGAGCCCCTGGACCATCCCTCCGCCACGAGAAGCTCATGCTGGACGTCGTCGGCGGCGGCCCGCCGGAATCTCGCGTAGAACTTGCACTCGTCGGGGGGCGAAAGGTGCTGCAGCGGCGCCGCCTCCAGGTAGCCCTGCGCGATCTCCTTGAAGCGGGGCCCCATGGCGATGTCCCGCGGGATGGCGGCTGGCACGCCAGGGTCTCGCTGAGGCCGAGGACGTCGCATGAGCGAGGCCACCGCTAGCGAGTGATCGCTGACCCCGCGGATGTGGAGCCCCCGAGCTTCTCCGCGTAGCTGGCAGGACTGCCGGCCTTGGCAGAGCGCCCAGCGCGGGAGCCCCACAAACATCCGGTCTATGGTCGTGCTGGTTCTTGTACTCGCATTCCAGTGAGTGGGCTTGCCCGCCATCAGCTCTGTGGCACCTCGCAGCGCATCAAGCCACTGGCGCTGGCCTGGGCGCCGAGCGAGGCGGGCCGCCTGCGACCCCGAAGGTGCCTGAGTTGGGGAGGGATGAGGTTGCCCAGCACCAAGACCCTGCTGCGTGGGGGTCTGCTGGTCCAGCACGAATGGGTCCACTTCGTCGCAGTCGCCGAAGTTGAAGTCGCCTACTATGGACGCCGCGCGGCTGTCGGGAGCGTCATGGGCCCAAGCCAGGTCACGTCGGATACCCGCGGCCCCTCGCCTCCGCTGCTCAGGAGAAATCTCGTGGTTGCGTGCATTCCAATTGACAGAACTGCATGGAATCTCATACGGCATCGCATGCTCCGATCGAACAGTGCCGGGAAGACGTAAGATGCGCCCAGGAACAAGCTCATCAGGAACAAAATCGCATGTGTAGCCGTCATTCGTGCCAGGCACAATCGTCGCCGCACCCCCCGCATCTTCTCTACCTCCTGCGATGCACGAGGTAAAGCAGTGAAGCTTTCTCCCCGGCCTCTCGATCAGCACCTCCATGCTGGCCGAGGCGGCCCGCGTCTCTTGTAGCCCAGTATCACTGGACCCTTCCAATAGTTCTGGAGGTACTTGAGCTTCTTCTTGACCTTGCGGATGCCCTGCTTCCCCGTCTGCTTGAGGGCCCTGCAGTTCCATGTGCCGAGGTGGATGCTCTCGCCCTGGCCCCCCCCACGCGCGGGCCAGTCGGTCAAAGAGTCCACTGCTGTGCCTCAGGGGCCAGCGCACGGTCCGCCACGATCTGCAGTGCCTGCTCCGCCTGGCCGATCGAGCGCACCGCCGCCATGTTCCACGAGACTTGCGGCTTCGCCCCTGGCGCAGCGATTGAGAGGCGAACCAGCTGCCTCCACTTGACCGCGATGGTATCCTTGCCCACGAAGAGGCGGTCAGCAATGTGCTCTCGCAGCTCGGTGCGGAGGCGCTTGAGCTGGATCTCGTGAGAGATCTGGGACTGGTTGCGGTCCTTACCCACATTGAGGTGCACCCTGTTGCCGTTCGGCGTTCGTGAGCACTGCGGAGAACTCCCGCCACGAGGACGGGCCAGTGCGCAGGAGCTCCAGGAGCTTGCCGCACCGGCGCTCTGCGAGCCCCGTCGCGCCCAAGCAGCGTAGCTTGAAGCGGCGTCCGATCTCCTCTCCCTCAAGCCGCGTGGCGTCGGGCTGGACGGTCGCCAGGTCCGCGTCGGCCAGCAGCTGCTGCAGCGAGTCCGCCACCGCAGACTTCGGCACGTCTGCCCTCGCGGTGATCGCCAGGATCGTGGTGTCCACCGTGCGTGACCACCCCGTGGTGGTCGGTAGCCCCTTCGGAGTCGTCGATGCAACTGCCGCCATCTCCGCTCTGAGGTCGTCCATCTCCTGGCGCAGGTTGGCAAAGTCGCGCCCCTGTCCTCCATCTTCCCGAGGCGCTCATCCACCCTGCTCAACCTCTGATCCACCACTTGCGCGAACTCCAGCTGGGACTGTTGGAAGATGTCCGAGAGGTTGCGGGTGTTAGCCTGCAACTGCTCTCCCAATCTACGCTCCATGTTGGCCAGCATGCTCGACATCTCCTGCGACCCGACACTGGCCGTGGGCCCGATGTGGCGGAGGCGGGCCCGAAGCGGCGCGAGGCTGCGGCAGCCCATGCGTCATGCGGGGCCACGGGGGCAGCTGCCGCTGGAGCCTCGGCTGCAGCCGCCGCGCGCAGCGGCTCGGCGGGGCCAGCGGCCGCACCTCCGTCAGGTCGTCGCCCTCGTCCGCCTTCGTCATCTCCACGCATGCGTTGGCGTTGCCTCCTCCCCCGTGCATCTCTGCGCTTCTGCTCACTGCGCGATGTGCTGCGCTCGTCAGACCTGCGGGAAGATGCGTCACTGCTGCCAGCGCGACGGTCATCGCCACCAGCAGGCGGCGGAGGGCAGTCCTCCTGGGTCGAGGATGCGGATCTCCTGCGAGGTGAGCTGCGAGAACCCCATGCTGCCATCTGCCATGCCATACCGCGCGGGGGCGTCTGGGTGGGAGCGGGCCTGTGCCCGAGATGGGGATCTCTTGGCCCCAGCAGCGCGCAGCTCGACTGGGTTTGCCTGAGTGTGGTGCTAGCCTCGGACTAGAGGTATCCGTTGCCAGCCCGAGGGACAAAGGCATCTTGAGCCAAAATGGCTTGAGCCCAAATGGCTACGTGGAGGAGGGCGAGGAGGAGGAGGACGAGGAGGCCCGTGGGGGGGCCTCAGGGGTCCTCTAGGACCTCTCGCCTCCAGGACCCGCCTCCTCCCTGCAGGCTTGCTTCTGGCTCCTCGTTCTCGTGCCTGCAGCGCGGGGTCCACCGAGGAGGGCGGAGGAGGAGGAGGGAGTAGGGCGGAGGAGGAGGGAGGAGGAGGGAGGCGGGAGGAGGAGGGAGGAGGGCGGAGGAGGAGGGATGAGGAGGGAGGAGGGCGGAGGAGGAGGGCGGGGGAGGAGGAGGAGAAGGCCCAATGGGTCCTCGGTCCGGGCGGGATACCCCTAGAGGCCAGACACGGGGCTGCACTGGTGGGGCGGCGGGGACGGCTTGGGTGGAGAGCACGGGCTGGGCGTATGCGATCGTGGCGGAAGGTGTCCACAACCGCCCCGATTACAAGGCCTGGGAAACGTGCTGGTGCCGAGCCCCGGCAGCCAAGCTGGATCCGTGGAGCGTGCCGAGCCTCAGGCCCTCACTGAAATACACCGAGGATTGCTGGGGGCACGCGGCAAATTCTGAATCGTCTTCTGCACTCGAAGTGCGCGCAGCGCGGCTGGCATACCAGGCGCGAGCCGCCGCATGGGCCGCGACCTCTGGAGGCGGTTGGCGCGCCGGGGGCGGAGCTGGAGACGCCGCCAGGGGGGAATCCAGTGCCGATCCACGCAATCCTTGCTGATACTGAAAGTTCTCTGTTCATGTTTCCCAGAGGCTGGAAGATACTGGAGGTTCAGAGTACCATTGCTGAGGGTATAGGCTATCCAAGCAAGGCCTACGTTCATGTAATGAAGTATTTGTTTTGCGACCCTCCCCCTCCACCTCCCTCGGCTACACGCCAAGGAATAGCCCTGGACAAGTATGGCCTCTGGTGCGCGACTTCAAGCGGGGCGCGGGTGGTTGGGTGGGCCAAACCTGCAAGCGCGCAAGCCGCTGCCACAGCGCGTCGCACTCAGCGGTCGGGGACCCCGGTGGGCTCCGCACCAACGGTCACTCTGGCGAAGGGGCAAACGGGGCAAAGGTCCGATCGGACGCCCGAAGGCGTCACGCCCCACTCGTGAGGACGGCGAAATTGCATAACAGGCCTGCCATGACGGGCAACGCTGGCGGCGAAGGTGAAACGTTGGACGCAGTATCGACAGGTGTGCTTGAGGAAAGGGGAGGGGAGGAGAGGGGAGGAGGGGAGGAGGGGGGGTGCAGGGGACGGCGAAGGGTCACTCTCGATTGCAACCGACTCTCCTCCCCTCCACTCCTCGGTCCGGCCCCTGGCCGGACCGAGGAGTGGAGGGGAGGGGCCCGCCGGCCCCCGCCGACCGCGGGGCACCCGGCCGCGGGCGCCATCTTGCCGTTGATGATGATGGCCGTGATGAGGCCGTAGATACCTCCGTTCTTAGAGGCCTCCTAGATGGGGTCCGAGTGCAGTGGAGGCCAGTCCACAAGAAGCATCCCACAAAAACCCAACCCTGAGGCGCACCGAGGGCCGCGGCTAAAACGGCCGCACATTGAACTGACTGGCCAGGGCCCCCGCCCCCGCCCCCTCCACCCCAACGCGTCCCTCGCCCCGTTGTCTTCACCCCGCCCCAACTCAAAGAGCGGACGAGGGAGGGGCACTGCGAGGGAGAGAGAGGGAGAGAGAGAAACAGAGAGAGAAACAAAAAGAGAAGGAGAGAGAGGGGGAGAGAGAGAGAGAGAAAACCAAAAAACAACAACACAAGAAGAGAAATAGAGAGAGAGAGGAAACAAGAGCGTGAGAGAGAGAGAGAGCGAGATGGAGAGACACAGAGAGAGAGAGGCAAACAAACATCAAAAGAGAGAAATAGAGAAAGAGAGAGAGAGAGAGAGAGAAAAACACAAAGACAGAGAAATAGAGAGAGAGAACATAAGGGAGAGAGAGGGAGAGCTATAGAAACAATATAGGCAGAGAGAGAGAGAGAGAGAAAGAGAGAGAGAGAGAGACTGGTGTGTATATATATATAGAGAGAGAGAGAGTGTGTGAGAAAGAGAGAGAGAGAGAGAGAGAAGAGGGAGAAGAGAAAGAGAAGGAGCGAAACATAAAGAAAACCATATATATATATATATATATATATATATATATATATATATATCGAGAGAGAGAGAGAGAGAGAAGAGAGAGAGGGAGAGACAAAGGGAGAGAAGGAGAGAGAGAGAGAGAGACATACGAGATAGATAGTACCTGCGGAATTTGGGATACTAGAGAGAGATAGAGAGAGGAAACCAAAACAACATAAACATAAAAATATGCATACATACAAAGAAGAGAGGGAGAGAGAGAGAGAGATCGTTGAGAAAGAGAGAGAGAGAGAAAGAAAGTGGGACAGAGAAACAAATACATCAACACATACATATAACACCATACAAGAAATGAGAGATAGAAGAAGAGAAGAGAGAGAGAAAGAGAAAGAGAAAAAAAAAGAGAGCGGGAGAGAGAGAGAGAGAGAGATAACAGAGAGAGGGAGAGAGACGGGAATATAATATGATAGAGACAATTGAAAGGAAGCACATGAGAGAGAGAGAGTGAAATCTCTCTCTCTCTCTCTCTCTATGTCTATATAGACATATATACGAGAACCACGCGCACGCTTCGCGCGCGCGTAGGTTCTAGTCACGGCTGCGCCACGTTTTGCTGCTCTCGTCTTCGCTCGTGTGATCATCGACGACAACGATGACGACAGGGGCGGCGACGAGGGACGACGAAGACGACGACGACGATGACGACGAACCACGACGACGACGACCGCCACCACCACGACGACGAGGACGTCGACGACCCCTGGAAAGGCCCCGAAGTCCGGACAATTTTCATAGGCCCGGAATTTCGTCCTAAATGTTGGACGGTCCCGGGGCCCGTTGGGGGCGTCAGGATGTTCAGAGTTGTCCGGGAACTTCGGGATCGGCCAGAGTACCTCAGGGCGTCTGGGGAGAGGGTTCTTGGGAGCCTCTTGGGGCCTCCTGGCGGCCCCGTGGGGCCTGCTTGAGATTTTGTTTCGGGGGTTCTCGACGGTTTCTTGGGGTCTCCGGGGTGCTTTTTGGGGGGGAATGGCTCGTAATGTCGGTGGGGTAATTACCACTCGGGGCTGTGAGGGGAAGCTGTCCCGGGGCCCTCTGGGACCGTCTTGGGGGCCCCCTGGACAGTCGAGGGCCCCTCATGAACCGTCTTCAACACGGCTCAAACAGGGCGTTTGTGTCGTCTTCAAGACAACAGGATGCGAGCAAAACGTCGTTTGTGTTTAAGCCGTCGTTTTCGTCTAAAACGATGCAAAAAACGAAAACGGCGAAATCCTCAAATTGACTCGTTTCGTTTCAAAACGGCCTGCGCGAAAACAAAAACAAAACGGTTGCGTGCTCGCGCCTGGAAACAAAAGGGAAACGAAACGGCCGCGCGACGAACATTGAAAACGAAACGGCGAAACAAACAAATTCTTCTGGTCGCGCCAGCCGCGGCGCCGCCGCTCGAGACATCCCCCGTTGGGCGGCGCCGCCGCCCAACGCTCAGAAAAGAATGCGGCTGCCGGAAAAAACAAACAAACAAACAAACAAACCCCATGTTGAATTTTCAAGCGAAAGCCCCAAGAAATTTTGACGTGGTTTTTCCATCAGCCCAAACAAGGCCAAACCACAACCCGTTGGACTCGGCAAAGCCGCACCCAAAGAGACCGTGTCAAAAACCCTTGCGTTCTGCAGAGCGAAACCCAAGGAATCTTGACATGGCTTCCCACTTCAGCTCACAGCGCCCCGCACCGAAATTCGTTGAATCTGGCAGAGCCAAACCCAAGGATGCAATGTCGAAATCCCAACCCCAAGAAATTTGGGCATGACTGGACCTTGTGCCCAAAGCAAGCCAAACCACAACCCGTTGGATTCGGAAAAGCCGCGCCCAAGGAGGCCGTGTCAAGAATCCTTGGGTTCTGCAGCGCGAAACCCAAGACAGTTTGGCATGGCGTTTTTCTCCAGCCCAAACCAGGCCACACCGAAATTCGCTTGATTTGGCAAAGCCAAACCCAAGGATGTAATGTCAAAATCCCTTGGGCTCAGCAGCGCAGAACCCAAGGAATTGTGATATGACTGTTGCTTCAGCCGAAAGCAGGCCAAACCACAACCCGTTGGATCTGGCGGGGCCGCACCCAAGGAGGCCGCGTCAAGAACCCTTGGGTTCTGCAGGACAAAACCCAAGGAATTCTGTTCAGCCCGAAGCAGGTCACACCGAATTCCAACGAATCCGGCAAAGCCAAACCAAAGGATGCAATACCAAAAATCCAGAACCCAGAAGATTTTACATGACTGATCCTTTTGCCCAGAGCCGGCCAAACCACAACCCGTTGGATTCGGCAAAGCCGCGCCCAGGGAGGCCGTGTCAAAAATCCTTGGGTTCTGCAGTGCGAAGCCCAAGGAATTGTGGCATTGCTTTCCCCTTCAGCCCAAACCAGGAAATTCGTTTGATTCGGCAAAGCAAAACCCAAGGATGCCATGCCAAAATCCCTTATGCCAGCGCAGAACCCCCAAAAATGTTGACATGTCTGTTCCTTCAGCCGAAAGCAAGCCAAACCGCAACCCGTTGGACCCGGCAGAACCGCGCCCAAGGCGTCCGCGTCAAGCACAGTTGGATTCTGCAGCGCAAAACACAAGGACATGTGACGCGGCTTTCCACTTAAGCCCGAAGCAGGTCATGCGAGAATTCGATGGAATCGGCAAAGCCAAACCAAAGGGTGCAATGTCAAACCCCGTGGGTTCTGCAGCGCAAGCGCCGAAGGACTTTTGACATGGCTGCTCCTTCAGCCTTAAATTTCTTCGGATTCGTCCAGACCAAACCTGAGAAGGTCACGTCGAACTCTGCGGTTGCTGCAACGCACAAAAAAAATGCTGGCATGGCTCTTTCTTCAGCCCAGAGCAAACAAGACCGCAGCCCTCTGGATTTGACAGGGCCAAGCCCAGCGAGGCCACGTCAAAACCGCGTGGGTGTTGAGCGCCAGCTGACGCTTGAGCTGCAATGGAACGGGGCGTGCGAAAGGCGGGAAAACGCATGAGGACGCAAACGCGCGAGGAGTGTGCCGACGCGCGGCTGGGGCAATGGTAAACATAAACCCACCAGCCCTTTAGGGCGCATGTGGTCTAGAGCGCTTCCTCTTCTCACCCGAGACGGCCCAAGATGGCCCGAGGTGGCTCCAAGAGGGCCTCAGACATTCACGTAAACATGACCGACGCCTCTGATGCTACTGCTACGTTGTGCGCCTGATGCTCCACTTTGTTTCTCTACTCTCCTCGCGGCCTTCAAGCGTAGAATGCCTGGGGCCTTGCCTACCCTGCGCCCTACTACCTACCCGAAGTTTGCCTAGGAATGGGCCTCGGATAAGGCGTCGGGGTAAGGCCTGGGGTTAGGGGGTGGGCCGGGGGATACGTGAGCTCTTGGAATAAGCCCCAGGGGTAAGCCCTAGGGGCAGGCCGTAGGGGCAGGCCCTAGGGGCAAGCCGAGGATGGGCCCAGGGGAAAGCCTACCGCAGGCCTAGGGGCAAGCCCCATGGGTAAGCCTCTGGGGTAGGCGGGGGGGGGGGGGGGTAGACCTGGAGATGGGCCCAGGGTAGACCTAGGGGCACACTCTAGGGTGAGCCTATGCAAGCGCGTGTGTGTGTGTGCGTGTGTGAATGTGTGCGCGTGTGCGTGTGTGCGCGGAGGGTGGTGGTGGGGGCGGTCTCGATGGGTCTAGGGTAGGCCTCGGGGTAGACCCGAAGGGTGGGCCTACGATGGCGCGTCGGGGTGGGCCTAGGACAGGCCTAGGGGTAGGCTCTGAAAGTGGGCCTAAAGGTTGGCCTAAGCATGGGTTTCATAAGCGCGGACAAGCTCTGGAAGGTTGGCCCGCGCACACTGGGGCCCCAGAAGTATCTGAGAATAAAGAAGCCACTGCGAAGCTCTTGAGATCCCTGAGGCTTTGAGTTTCTGAGGCTACGAATTAGGAGTGGGACTTGCTTGCTCGCGGTGGCTCAAGAGCAGCGCCCAATCTATTGCAGAGGAAAGGGGCGATGTGAGTCGCAGCGAACAAGACGCACCAAAAAAGATCAGGATATAATCTGACTCTGTTGCTGATCCGGATAGGATCTGAAACTGACGGGGCGGGAGCAAGGGCGGGCCATAATTTGGTGATAATATTTCAGAACGCCCTCGGAATGAAGCCCCCGCGCCTCCGCGTCCACACCGACGAGGGCGAGACTCTGTGAGTGCCCTCTCCTGTCGCACCTCCGTCCTACATCCTAAAAACGCAATCCATGATCGACTTGCAACCGAAGCCGTCGGAGTGCATGAAGCGCCCAAATCTCCGCATGCACACTGGCGACAACGAGATTCCGCGGGCGCCCTCTCCTGTCGCACCCCTGCCCCATATTCCAAAACTGCAACCAATAATCGACTTGCAACTATATTCCCCTCGCTGCGGAGCAGCTCGCGCCCGCTGGATACCCGCTCCAAAGATGCGCGAGCCGTCGCGTGCTGACAAGACTCGTCGTCTTTGAACGTGGCTCTCCCAGCCGACAGCGCGCTGGCAGACTGCAGCGGCGAGGGGAAGGTTGGATGATCTGCCGCCGTCGCAGGAGGCGCGGGGCCAAGTCTGGCGCAGCTCTGCGGTCGTGCTCCCTCCTCACTCCCTACCAACAAGAAAGACAGATAATGTATTTTCACTGCGGGAACTGCGTCTTCAATCGCGCCAGAACACCATTCTTGGGACTTCAATACCGCGAATCACCATCTTCGCGGCCAACAGACCTGCTTATTTTCATGGCTCAGTCATTACTTGGTGCTGCCGTCTGTGGCGTTCGCAATGACCGTGGACGTTTGTTAGTGCAATGGCTTCTTCAACATGGGCTGTCGATCTACAGTCGCTTTGGGTCAACACTTCCTGAGAATTCCTGGACATGCAGACGTAGTTTCGACGGCGCTGTTGTCCAACTGGATTACATCGTCGCTGGTTCTAGTTTCGGTCACGTTGCTTCCAACGTCGATCAAGCAATTGGCGTTGGACTGGATCATCGAACGGTGCATTGTGAGCTATCTTTCGTTGGCCGACGTGTCAACAGCAACCGGAAGAACAATAGTTTGAAGGGTTGGCGGCCTATTCTGGATGTACGCGGGGAGCCGTCGAAGTATTGGGAAGTATTGAGCGACCCAGTTTTGCTCTCACGGGTCTCGTCGTTCAGCTGCGCGGAGAACATGCTGCACAGAGCGGGATCCAAGCGCGGGAGCGCGGGTTCGAAGACATTTCGATTCAAACCATCTCCAGCTCTCACGTCTTTGCGGCTAGCTCGACGCCGTGCGGGTGGACAGGCAGAGAGGAAAGATCTCACTTTCAAGATCCGCCGTACGATGCGGAAGGAAAGTCGCCGGTGGCGATCTGCGCAGATTTCTACATGCGTAGGCCAATCATCAAAGTGGAAAGCGTTGCGGCAGATGTTAAACACGTTTTCGGGCAAGAAGAGAGCAGTTCAACCGAGCCCCGCGGACTTTGCTACAGCCACGCGTGAGATCTTCAGCGGCACTTACCAGCGCCCGCCGGCGAACCCCGCCACTACCGAGCCTAGTTTCGACGAGGACGAACTGGACATCGCCATTCACCGGATGAAGAAGAACAAGGCTGCAGATAGTAAAGGTCTCGTCGCAGAGCTCCTGCATCAAAGTCCGCCGCTCTTTCGCAGTACTGTGCTGAGGTTGTGCAACCAGTTGTTTGCGCACGGCATCGTTCCAGACGACTGGAGACGTACAGTCTTCAAGATGCTGGAGAAGATGGCAAGTGCTAAAACAGTTTCGGATTTCAGACCTATTACATGTCTGCGGCTGTTCTACAAGTTGTTCTCCTACCTGGTCTTGGGCAGGATCGAAGATGCATTGGAGCATGCACAACCTGAAGAACAACATGGGTTCCGGTCCGGTCGTCGCCTCGAGGAGCACGTGGTTACTGCCAACATTGTCCTTCAGAAAACGCTCGCCGTAGGAATGCCGATTTGGATCATCAGTTTGGACTTGTCGAAAGCTTTTGACAAGGTGGCGTGGGATCCACTGTGGCAAGCACTCCGGGATCATGGGGTGTCCGACCATATGGTTTGGCTCATTCGACAACTCTATGCGGACCAAGTGGGTGTGATTGCTGGCGCAAGCACTTACAGTGATGAATTCCCTATTTCTGCTGGCGTCCGCCAAGGGTGCGCACTGAGTGCAAAGTTGTTCACGTCCGCCATGGAATGGGCAATGTCGCGCTGGAAGCAGAAAGTTCGGCATCTGGGAATAGATCTTGGAGATGGTGGAGAACATCTGACCAACCTGCGCTTCGCAGACGACTTGCTTCTATTCGCATATTCGGAAAGGGAGGTGTGCTTCTTACTCGACGCGCTCGTGTCGGAGCTGCTGAAGGTCGGGCTTGTCCTTAACGCGAAAAAGACCAAGGCGCTTACCGCTACAGCACAAGCCCCCTCCACGATCCAGACGCCGAATGGTCTGACAATCGACGTGATCAACAGGGACTCTGCTCATAAATGGTTGGGTTGCATGCTGTCCACAGGGGGGGCAGATTCCCGCACTCTGGATTTGAATTACCACATGCAATGTGCAGCCAAGGCATTCTATGCGAATCGGCGTATCCTGTGTGACAAGCGAGCCTCGGTCACACAGCGATTGAAATTGTTCAATTCCGTCGCAACGACAGTGGCGTGTTTTGCGGCAGAGCATCGCCCGCTATATTTGGATGATTTGAAAACAATGGATATCGAATTTCGTCGCCTCGTACGACAAGTCGTTGGACCACCTCCGGACGTTGATTGGGATGGCCCATGGCATGATGTACTGCATGTTTGGCACGAGCGTGCACGTTACTTCGTCGCGCGTGCTGGCATTCGCACATGGGCAGAACAATGCGTTCATCAATATTGGTCGTTTGCAGAATATGTCCAGCAGCTGCCGGAGACGAGGTACATCACGAGAGTTCTGAACTGGTCACCACGCGGTAAGCGTAGAGCAGGCCGGCCGTGTCTTACATGGACAAGCAAATTGGAAGATTTCGGCCGTGTGATCGGCTCTCAATGGCGATCCTGGTCACCAGATGTTTTCCAAATGCGCGCCGACGATTTTCATAATTTCTGCTGCCATTCGCTATGAACACGCTGTCTCACCGTGGCGCGCGCGCGTGTAGCACGCTGCCGATTGCCACCGCCTGTGCCCTCTATGGGCTCGCCTTCCGGCGCACGGGCTTGACCATGACCTTGGCGCACCTTGACTACGCGCAGCGGCTCCGAGCCCGAGCGGCCGAGAGAGCGCTGCGTGACAGTGCAGTCCATCAAAGTGTCTAGCAGCGGCAGCGCAGATGGGGGCCCGCGCAAGGTCCCGCCCTCGCTCGCCGGTCGCAGACAATCGATGCAAATCTGCACGTCCTTGAGGGCCAAATTTGCCAGCTTCTGGAACGGCGACTCAACGATGATTTCTTTCACGGCGCCGAGCTCCTGCTCGACGTCCTCGAGATCATCTGGCCCTCCGTCGTCGCCCGCGTCGGACTCCGCGGATTCCTGCCCCGAGCTCTCGGCGTGCGACCCCGCTTGGCAATGGGCGGCCCAATAGATGTGAGCCAACAGCCCGCGCTTGTCAACGCGTAGCCCAGGGCGGTTTCCCAGCACCGCTCCTGTGATGGAGGGCCCCCGCTCGCTCTGCGACTCGGACATCCTAGAGGCGCAAAGCCATTTCGTAAGTAAATGTAGCACGAGGGCGTCCTCCTCCGCGTTGTCGCAGAACCTAATGCTGCACCACTCGCACGTGGAGATGCCAACGGAGCATTTCCCCGCCTCGGCCCAGATCTTTCGGCGACGGCCGCCGCCGTCGTTCAAGACCAGATCCCAACTTTGCCCGCGGGCTGCTTCCACAACTGGAACGCACGGCTGGCGGGCTCCTCGATGCCCGATACCTTCGCCTTGGCTGCCGGAAATCTGTAGAACTCCTCGAAGCACGGCTCCAAAGCCGCCAGGAAGTTAGAGTTCACCGACTCCAGGGAGGCCTCGAGGAAGAACTTCGGCCGAAGCAAGTGGCCTGGCATGTTTCACTTCCCGCGCCAGATGTCGAACCGCCGCTCGAACGCGCTCTCGAGGGGCGCGACCATGTCCGTTTTCGTGTCATCGGGGAAGCTCGTCTTCGCGATCGCTTCGCAAGAAGCCTTCTTCGCGGTGCCCCACATGTCAATGGCGCACAACACTCCGGTGACAGGGTTGGCGTCCCCAGCGCGCAGCATCTCATGAACTGGCTTGAGCACTGCGCGCGCGTCCATGAATCTCTCCACCAGGCCGCCTCGGGACAACTCTCTTGCCTCTTTGCGTTTGCCCCTGCTCGTCTCGTCTGCCACCGAGCTCTCCGCCAAGAGCGCCGTTGCGCTGGAAGCGCGGCCGCCCAGTGACCCCCGCCAATCCGAAGGATATTTTGGACATCCGGCACGCGCTCCGGAAGCGCGCCACCTGGGCGCGCGCGTGGACGCGCACCCTACGGCCAGGGGGTGGCTTGAAACGGCCCACGTTGGCCTGGGCAGATCGGAAGCGCCCGAGCAGCTTGAAGTTGTTCTTGGCGAAGCCGCTCGCTTCGTCCGCCGACAGGAAGGCCCCCCTGGCATGCTCGAACACTTTGGCAGGTATCGTTTCCTTTCCCATCGCCCATCCACTTGCCCGAGAGGCACTCTGTCAGGAGATGAGTCGCGTGCGTCCACCAGCGCAAAGTGATCGGGATAACGCCGTGGACCCCCTCGAACTTTACTTTCGCGATGTGCAGGGCCTTCTGCTCTGCAGCGAGATTGTCTGCAGCAGTGCTTGCGACGTCGCAACTACGCGCGCGCAAGCTGGCGAGCCTCGTCAACAACTGCTCCGCGACGCCATCGCCCCCGTCGGACCCCCCCCCCCCCCCGCCCTCGCCAACGGCCACTCCCCGATGCAAGTGGTGTCCCCTTGTGCAGTCGCACGCAGAAGTTTCCGGCCATGCTCCCCCTGCACCTCGCCGCCGCCCGTGAAAGCGGCGACCAGGCCACCGGCCAGGATCGCATCCTCATGGCGAAGCGCATCATTCTCCGCCCTCTGGACCCTGCTCGCCTCCCAGAGCTGGCGCTCAGAAAGCGGGGCCCACTCCTTCAGGCCGCCGCGGCCGAGCTCGGTAAACAACAAAAAAAAAGGCGGAAGCGAGGATCAGAGGCCAACCTGATAGGGGGAGGTTGCATTCGTAGAAGACTTTGGTCATCGCATCCTCATGCTGGGCCTGTAGGCCCACTCCGAAAGTCGCCTCCGAAATTCTCTGCCTCTCCTGCGGGGCCCCTTGTAATTCCCCCTTGGTCGCGGGGGTGCTCCACTCGGACAGGCCGCGCAAACGGCGCGCCTGGTTGCGCGCGGCCAGCGGCAAGGCGCCCGCGCACGGCTTCGTCGACGCTGCCTTTGGGCGGAAGGGCACCAGGCAGATCGAGCTCTCTCGGCCCTTCCCCCCTTCCCGCGAGAAATCTCAAGGAAGGAAAAAGAAGGAAGAGTGCCGAGATAACTGGATCCGCACTGCCCCCCCCCCCCGGCCCCGCCCGCCTCGGACGAGGCCGCCGCGTGGCGCAGCGGCCGCTGCCAAACCGAAGCATTAAACCCATCGTCGAAGTCTGGGCAAAATCTGCATATCCAGCGGCGCTGCGCGCCCGCGCTCTCGATGTTGTAGCAAGCTTCTACCGGGCTCTTGCCCGCCTTCCGGTCCTTGTTGCGCCCCCCCGCATCCGCGCGCTGCGTCAGCTCTGCCGAACTCAGGCGATGCAGCTTTCTCCTCGGAACGCCTTGGGCCGAGGCGGCCGCGGCCCCCCCCGCGCCGAAAGGTTCCGGGGAAGATGGCCTGAAATCCTGTCAGCCCGAGCAGCGCCATGGCTACGAAAGATGCTGTTTAGATCGTAGCAGAGACTGTCTCGCATTTGGAACTCCTTGGGGGCGCAATCCACGCGCCCTTCGGACCTGAACGAGCCCGGTGCTCACCTCCTGGAGCACTCGACGCCAAACCGCCCGATATTTGACTTACTTGGGGGCTTGAGTCTGACATTGCTCAGCTTTCCTCCGCCCCATGGGCGGCTCTCCGACCTCCCAGAACCGGCGCTTTCGTAACCGGGCGAGACAGCGACGACAGGGGCGAAGGGGGGCAGCAGTGTAGAGAGCAAGCGCAATTCTTTGATAACACAATCAGGATGAGGCCCTCGCGCCGCTGCGCGCGCGCTGACGAAGACGCGCGCGCCGAGACTCCATGGGCCCCCTCTACTAGCGCACCCCTGCCCCAGGTCAGCGAGCGCGACCGTCGTCGCCGCCATCCGCCCCGCGGAAACATCGCGACTGGCGCGAATGCGCTGCGCCACCTCGAATCTCTTCAAGCAGCGCAGAGGAAGGCCCAAGAAGAGAATCAATCGGTGGAAGCTGCACCCGCCTCAGCCGCAGCAGAGTAGCCATCGTAAGCAAGGCCCGCGCTGCAGCAGGCCGCGACCGCGTCGACGGGCTCCACCGCGGCGCGCTCCGCAGCGACAGCGGCACCGGCGCAGTGCTCGGCCGTCTGAGCCGCGAGCGCCCCCCCCAACGCTCGCGGAGCATCGCTTTCGCGGAAGCGTCGAACTTGACGTCGAGACCCTTCGCGGCCGCGTTGACGTGGCGGGGCTGGATGTGGAGCTCCGCCACCGAAGGCAAGACGACGGTGGCCGCGTCGCCGGCAACGCATTGCCTCTGAGCCTCAATATCAAAACAGTTGCAGGTCACGATGTCCAGCGCGTGAAAAGTCTGTGGCCTTTGCCAACCTCAATTTGTTCTTGCGCGCCTCCACCCGGAGGCGTCGCGCCAGTGCTCGCGCCAGTTCTTCCACCGCAGGTTGGAGAGCCGACCTGCGCGATTCGCCGCGCGAGACTCTGGAACCTCGCTTCTGGGCTACGCTATCCACGATGCTCTTGAAGTGGCCGACGGGCATGACGAACCCGTTGTGCGACCCGCTGCGAGATCGCTGGGTAGACGCCTGCTGCTCTGCCACCGTGTCCATGCAGATTTTGAAGAGCTTGCCCTTGCCATCTGCTATCTGGATGAACGGGGCTTCCAGCGCCTCGTGCGTCTGGACGGCGTCCGCGACTGCGTGCATCGCGGTCCGTTGCAAAGAACCCATCCCGTACTCGGGATGATCGCCGTGGGTGACGATGCGGGCCAACAGACTGAAAGCGTCGATCGCGTGCTGGCGCTGCTTCTGCAAAGCCGCAGCGCGGTCCACGTCTATCGCTGCATGTGCGTCGTCCTCCATCTCCTGCAACGCCTCCTCCACCGCTTTCTGGAAGCGTTTCATTCTGAACCTGGTGCCTGCCTGTAAGTCTTCCAGATGCTGCTTGACCACGTCCCGCATGTCTTTCAACGCCCTGGGTTCGGAATGGCGAAGCAATGCCTCGGCGCGCAAAGCCTTCACCACCTGGTAGGACTCGTTCTGGACATCGGCGTGGGATACATCCGACCCACCCGATCCGGGGATCCTGACCAGCGCGCGGCACCTGACGATGCAATGCCAACAACGGTCTGGCCCGCGTCCGCTCAAGGCACCGTGGCGCCGAGAGTTCCGAGGCGTACCCCTCCCCCTACGCCCTCTTGCTGGACCTGGACAGGGCCAATCGCAGACATTCAGATTTCACTCGGAACTCCAAGACCCATGCCGAGACGAACTTTCATTGGCCGTCTTGGGGCGATATGGTCGGCTCCTGGGGCCGTCTTCGACGCGGTCGACGCCGAAACGGCGAATATCGTAAACATTTACGTTTCCCGGAGGGAATGTTGCCATTTTTGCTTCTGGAGACGCTCTCGGGAGTCTTCATGGAGGATTCTTTGGCCGTCGTGGGGGTTCCCGGAAGCCGTCTTGGAGCTATCGCCGGCACGTTGGAACGACAATTTGGGGATTCTGGGCCCTCGTGGAGGTTTGGAAACCACTTGGGACTCTCGGGTGGCGTTTCGGGGCTGCGTGGGTCTGTCTAAAGGGGGGCCCCAGAAGCACCCCGGGGCATTTTGGGACAGTCTTGGGGGCCTCCTGGACAGTCGACGGCCCCTCTTAAGCTGTCTTAGAGGCCCCTTGGAACTCGGCCCTTGGGGCCGTCTTCGGGGCCGTCTTCGACGAGGTCGACGCCGAAGCGTTGAACACCGTAAAAATCAGCGTTTTCCCAAAGAGATGGAGCTATTGTTGCTTCTGGAAAGGCTCTCGGGGGTCTTTTTGGGGGACTCTTGGGCCGTCGTGGGGGTTCCCGGAGGCCGCCTTGGCGGCCTCTGCGGAAAAGTGCCTGGGGTTGCCGTGCAGCGTGGGGATGCAGAACAAGCATGGGGAGACACATGGGAAACCCTATGGGACAACCAAGCGTGTGAGCCTCCTGGAGGCTTCCAGGAGGCCTGTGCGAGACCTGGGGCACCAGGCGGGAACAGCTCCTGGAGTTCCCTGCAACCTCTTGGGGTTCTGGTGGCTCGGGGTGGCCGAAACCACCCCATGCCCCGCCGAGGTCCCTGGGCGGAGACCCCCCGGCCACGCCCCCCAGGGCTCTGGTGGCTCCGGGTGGCCGAAACCATATAAACAACATGGGGAAAAGGAAAACCCAGCCACGTCCCCCGGGGCTCTGGTGGCTCTGGGTGGGCGAAACCGTGCAATAACACAAATGAAAATAAGGCCCCGGGCCCCCCATGCCCTGCCGAGGTCTTTGTGCGGGACCCCCCGGCCACGCCCCTCCGGCACATGTGTGTATACATACACATATGTATATGTATGTGTATATATATACATACATATGTATATACATATATATATACATATATATATATATATATATATATATATATATATATTATGTTTATAAACATATATATACACAGCAAAAAGAGATATACATAGAGAAAGAAAGAGAGAGAGAGAAACGAGACAGAGAGAGACAGAGAGAAATAGAGAGAGAGAGATGCAACTAGAGAGATATATAACACAACAGACAAGAACATAGAGAAACAGAGAGAGAGAGATAGAGAGAGAGAGATAAAGAAACGAGAGAGAGAGAGGGAA